TGGAAAAATTGTATTTCAAACCAGCTTATTCTCTGGCATGCCAATGACACACAGAAAATCAGTTTAGATGGTGTCTTCACAAGCTCGCTACAGCCACATAAAATCTTGAATATTGTTCTCGCCATTCTCCAAGCTAATCCAACTTGATTTTCGTGATTCCAGTTTGGCAAAATCAGTCTCATTAGAGGGCGCTAAATAAATTGACAAATTTACTTACATACCTTGTGGGCAGTGTGACCAAGAAATTTTCACTTTATGTTGTATCAGTTCGTATAATGATTATTTTTTATGGACTATGTGTGTACCAGAGAATCTGGATTTATACTATTGTTTTGTTATGTGACAGGGTACTCAAGTACAACAACATAGGACCAGTGCTGCACAGACTTTAACCAACCCTCCATGCCAGTCACCTACCAATGGTGTGATTGAAGAGACTACTCTTTCCATCCAACAACTATGTAGCAAGTTTGAAAATCAACATTCTGGTGTTTCAACTAGTGGTCAGATGATGCGCAACAGTCGAGTAATAATACAGATTGTGTGACCCAGCTAGGGAAGATGAATAACTTAACTCAGTTACCACAGTCTTATAATACATCTGGATATGTATATCCAGTTAGTTCATTTCAAAGGAATGGACCGGGATACTGTACGCTACCACGTAAGAAAGTAGAACCTGATTCGACAGAGTCGTTGTACCAATTATCCCTGCACTAAAGTCCCGACTTCTGATAGCGGTACAAACTTCACACGAGGGACTTGGTCGTCTCAGAGTATGATTGTCAAGTCGATCAGTAAAGAACAGATTAATTCACCAAGTCATCACAGTAACGGAACGAGTGATACACTCCAACAAACTGACAGATCTCCCACGTCAACGACAACCCAAGACTCAAGATATGCAGGCCCAAGTAATGAACGAGTAGTCACAGACCCTGCATCTGTTGATAAACAGAAGATTTTTTGCAAATTATGTAGGAAAGTGATGATCAAATTGCCACATCAGTATTGTCATAATTGTTTCATATATTTAAGTGGACTGCGGCCCAGCAGCAAGTGTTGATCGTGTTTTCGTCTGAGAAATCATGAGTTTAATAGATTATACAATGATGAAGACCAAACTCTGCAGCTTGTTATATATGTATAAACGAACATTCTTTGACTTTTTTCTTGTATTATGCAGAAGTTGTTGATCAAAAATATGCTTAATATTTTAAACATATCAGTGAAAAAAAATCTAAATTGGGATTGATTGCTTGTTGTAGCATGAGTAATGTTTTAATTGTATCTGCATGCCTATTTTGGGTGACGCTGAATTTTGTGAGTTGGGACCAGAACAGAACATTTTTGCATGTGCAATAAGGCTTTTCACCCCTATGGTGTGTATAATGGAATAGTCCATCTATACATGGGGATTTTAACAAACAAGATGTTTTATTGGTGGAATCAACACAAAAATTTTACTTTGCTTTGTTTTATAAAGCACTTGATAATCATGTTGTATTTTGAAAAGTGCATTCTTTTTTTTTCAACTGGTGTGCCAAAATTAACATTCTTTTATCTCGCAAAACTGCCAGTGAGTTTTATATATATTTTTAGGTGTGTGCGAACAGCAATAATTGTGTTCCTACCCTGCTATATAGTGTACAGTTTTATTCAAGATTTGTTTGATTTTAAATTGCTGTAAAAAAAACGCATTGCATAATGAATGGTTATGACTGCAGATTTGTAAGTTTGGCTTTCTACTGCCATGAAATTACAGATGATATAAACAAACAAAAAAACACTTTTGCTAACCTGACATAGTTTAAACGGATTATAGTGTTCATTTACAGTAGTACCTTAAGCCTGATGCAATCTTTATACATTGACTATTTGGTCACTTTTCCAAGTTTTGTTTATCTTCAACAGTTATTTTACTCTGAGTTTTTTTGTTTTGTTTTTTATCTGAGCGGTGAAGCATTCTTTACTTATACTATTGGGGTCGGGTGTTCATTGGGTTTTAGTTGATTTGATGTTGCAAGGATATTTACTGGTCTGTGAAGGAAAC